AAGCAAGAGATGGTGTTATTTACCTGAAAAGGCACTAAATTAATGGGGTTTTGCATATAATTAAATGCATAAGTTATGAAATTCCGTGTCTGATGGATTCAGTTATAGAGGTTGTTTTAAGGCATATAAAGTACTGGAAATTCAAGTTATGGAATTTCAATATATTTAGTTATGTGATTTCAATTAAAAGTCTGGCCCATTAAATGAGACCCTTCTGTTTATTCCAACGTTGAAATATCTAGTAAGTGAACGAAATTGAAAATGTGTGGGAGCTTAATAATGCGTCATTTTGTATGACTTATTTTCTTAATATTTAAACTAGACAAATGTTTTGATACAAACATTTTGCTCAGTCTATTTATCATCGAAAATGGATGTAAATAATTGGTATTAAATCAAGAATGAAGGTCACACTCATTGGAATTTCGATTCTTTTTCTTACTGCGAAATTAAGTAAGAAAATATGCCATATTATTATTTATTTATTGGCAAATTGTTATGCTGAATGAGTTTGCGTTGGCTTTTCAGTTTACTCAAGTAATTATTCATTTAGTTTTTCTACTTCTTTTCCGCTCATTTAATTTCCACGAAACTAAACCCATCAGGATTATCAACAATACAGTACGTACTTGCACCAGCGGAAAACCACTCTCTCAAATGGGAAAAGTTGGGCGAGATAATTTAAATTTGATCCCACCATTATGCAGTGTGGGAGGATGCAAGTCGAGCTGCAGAATTTCATCATCATATCGAAATCAAGTGGGAGATGATGGTTTTAGCTTTCACTGCATCAAATCAGATTCTAACGAAATCAAATTCATCAAAAACATTCTTTGACGAGCTCAAACAACTCATATCACAAGAACACATTCAAATTTTACATGACAAACATGCAAGGACTTTCACCCCACAATATACATGACACTCTAGTTATGACTACCACCTAATTTTCCAGCTAAATCACATACGTTGAAAACTTTGTTCCACACAAAAACCATTGGCTGACGATTGACGTTTATTAGAAGTACTAATCAGCACCAGTCTTGGAATTTTATGACTCATTTCATTCGTTATTCCATAATAAATATTTTACGCAAACACTTTGAATATGTAAAATATTCTGGAATTATACATGTGAGATGTGGACAAAAAGATTGTAAAAATAGATTGCTTTCCACAGAAAATGAGATCGACTTTCTCATCGCGTACATATGTTTATATTCATTTGGTTCAAATAAACGCAAACTTTACCTCAAACTCTAGCAGTGTTTCATATTTACAGATGTACATACGTGAGCTATGTAGTTTCGATTTGAACCAGCATTAATTTTTTTATGGGAGGAAGATCCTCTTGAAGTGAAGTTTTTGAGCACAAAGGTGAATGACGCGACTTTGGCGTAATGAGATCGAAGTGTATAATAATCCATCCTTCCGGGTGAATTAGCGGACATGTAGACATCAAGACTAATTAAGCCGAGGGTCAATAGACATTGGTGGGGAGAGTGACGTGGCTTCCAATTTTTGCAACATGTGCGGTGGCGAGCGGATCAATGGGGAAAGAAAGAGTGGGTTGTTTTCGGGAGTGAAAGTGACAGAGGAGCGAGTGAGCGTGATTGAGTGAGGTTTTCAACGTAAGAGAGACCGCAACAGGTTTTCCACCTCTCAAGCACGTCTCACTTTGAGTGCAACGTGGCCGAAATTGGGTCAGAGAAAGCTATCTAATTACACAGCAACAGGTGCAAGGGGTCTCCGCAGCATAATCCCATTCCCTTCCTGTGCAACATATTTATTATGTACATATGTACACTCATTTTCAGCCTCATCCTCCTCATCAGTAACATTGAATTCGTCAAGGCCTTATGCTTTACACTACAGATCTCTTGGATCAGCCAGAAAACATGACAAAAGTAAATAATACTTCTAGTGAAAATCCATACAGCGATAAAAAAACAATTTTCAATTCTTGGAAATATATTTCACATGAAATATAATTCCACTTTTCTCACTATGCACATTTTGGTGTCTATTGCTGTAGTATTATTGGGATTTAAATATTATATTATTTGTATATACTTGAGTTAGTTTGATCTCTCCAATGGCATTGAAGAGATGACCAATGTACATAAGTACAGATGTCTGTATGTACCTTAACATATATATGTATGTAGCTGTGTAGTTGTAATAATCAAACGAAATTTTCATACAAATTGCATTGGAAGCATCATTTGAACTTAATTTAAGAATAATATACAGTAACCGCTTCTATGGATTAAAATTGAGGATATTTAACAGCATCAATTCGAGTTGGAGTGTACAACAAGATGTAGGTTAAGTTTCGTCGCATATTCCGCACCCATGTGATACGATGTATTTACCTACTACTGCCATATATTCTGTCTCAAGCATTCCGCGCGCAAAAAACATCAGTAGCAGTTACGTTAGCCAGTTGTACTATTTTTTATTGAATTCCCCATGCAATTGTCTATCAGAAACCATCTTCCGAAATTTTTTGTGATACAAGGTGCTAAAATGACAGATCGGACAAATCGACGTGTTGCAATTTTTCAGAAACATTTTTGCAAACATAAAAATTCGGCATTTTTCAATAGATCATTAAAAATCGGAACTAATTGCAAGATGGTCGACCATACCATAAAATGATCCACTAACATTGGCAGTGTTGATAACCGAAAACCGAGTTGAAGGGAACGGTCAAAAAGGTCACAAAAAATCACGAAGGCGCACAAAACCTGAACTCGGCTGAATTCACGCCGGATCCTAAGAAAAATTTCCCTACAAATGAACGGTCCAAGTAAAACTATGTCGCTGGCCCCTAAGCTCGACCTTGGACTTATGTCTTTAAGATGAGAAAAGAAACACTTGCTAACTTCACGCCAAGTAAAAATAGTACCCTTGAAAGCCGGGCACTGATCATGCGGTACGCGCTTGAAAAATGGAAATAAGTATTTTTCAAAGATAAGTAAACTTTCACAATAAAGGCCATATAAAATTAGCAAAAGCACTTTGTCCACACCCCACCAGTCCATATTATTCATAAAATTTTTTAAAATATTAATCGGACCCACCATCCAGATTCTGTGATTTTTTTATTCGGCGTAGATTGGATTTGGTCAAAAAAGTGAATTGTCTTCCTCTGGGAGTGAAATTTCTTGTCAAAAAGTATTTTTTGAAGTTATCGAGCGAATGGAAGAACCACTGGACCACACTCTATTAAAAAATAGCTGCTAAGTATTCGAGCAGGGCTCAGGACCTGCTGATAAGGCCAAAATAGTAAAAATGGGGTAAAATTCCAAAATTTCTTACTCCATTTCGGATCAAGAATAAAATTCACTGTCGCCGAACCTCAACCTTCTGGAATACGATATGTGGTCCAAACTGAAGCTAGATACATGTGCTAAACACCACACAAGTTTGGAATCCGAGAAAAAATCTGTCGCTTAGAAATGAGACTAATATTCCTTGGAATGAGTGCGTACCGGGAGTGAGATGTGGATATCTAGACTTTGGGCTATTGTAGCTTCGAAAGGAGGAAATTTTGAAAAGTGCCCGGTATATTTTGTAGGGAATTTAATAGGCTTTCTCATGATATCGTTCGTTTTTTAAAATTCACTAAACTGAGTCCGCTACATTAATTTGTTTAGTGGTCAAAACTTATGGCAGTAGTAGGTACTTCCTTCCTCATTTCTATTCAAGTCAATAAAAGCACACACTCGACCCAATCTACTCAATCTGTTCAAGATGTCATCCAATTGAAGGGTTTCGGTTGTATCTTATCTGCTGAATGAATAAGAAATAAGAACCAAAATGTCTAACACCAGACGCACAGCAGACATCCTTTAATCCTTCCTCAGCCATGTAGGAGCACGAAAATTGTAAAAATCTCTCTTTTACTATAATGTGCATCCTATGCAGCGTTACTTTGTCCCAGTTGTTTTTGTTTCGTTCTTTACAAAATTCATAGTAAATCCTAAATGAAATATGTAATAAAATGCCAACTATGCATAATAATATACGTAACGTTCAAGTTGAGAGGTCGGAAGTCGCATAATAAGATGTGAATCACACAACAACACACCACTCACATATCACTTATCACGCAACCAAAGTTATCTGCATTCCATACATAGTTCTTGTTGGTAATTTACATTTGCATCAATTAAACAAGCGCAATTCGTCACAGACCTGTGTATTTAATACACACACATATGTATGTACATACCTACAATTATTCACTCGCTAGTACCAAGAATTGGCAAAAAAAATTCGTGTACATATATATGTCCGCCTCCAGATTCAACTTCGCACTTTATGAAAAACCATAATATTTACTGGTCAAAACTGCAAACTTTTGTCTGGTCTAATCTGGACTGGACGTATGTAAATGACAGCAGATAACCACATACGAACTACACAATTTGTATTATGGTTCTTTGTCCACGAGGGATATGAATGGTCATTAATCCCTGGAATGGAAAGTGGTTGACCGTTCAGTTCAATGCGACACATTAATTAATACAATGTACACAAAAATCCGAGAAGTATTTTGGTCAGTTTTGCGCATTCAAGTCTTCCAAAACGCAAAACAAAAAATTTTGTGAAATTATTATGATTCACACAAGTTGAATATCTGTACATAGTATTGTGCATAATTGGCTGGCATTTATATATCAAACCAACCACTACGGACGATCTACTTCTTGGAAGGGTGTATATACATTACATATTAAAGCGAATCCTGCATAAGCAATTTTACTTGATGCCCTTAACTTTTGGCAAACTTGCATTTCATGTATTAAACGTATCGACAACATTCATATCATTTTACTCACGCTCAGTTGTTTTGTCCAAACAAATCGTATACAGAATTTGTTACAAATGAAATGTCAAGTTGATAGAGGTTAAATAACATGTGTTTATCACGTAGGTTTTCATGCATTGCATATCACCATGAAATAAACTGAATACATAATTTTGTAGAGTTCAAGGAAGTAATTTTTTAACAATTTATTATTTCTCTCGACTAAATAATTAACCTACAATTTTTGTTACGAATCAAATATAGATTCAAAATCATCTAATAGTTGTATTGTTTTTTATTTTGTACATGATACGAGTATGTCACGTAGAAAGTTCCTTCTGTATACTATTATTTTTGATTTAATGGCAATCGACTCGTGATATAAGTTAAAAAATGTGTCACAAGTAAACTAAAGAAGAAGAAATTAAAAATAACATCACTTTACGAGAGTATTTTGCATCTTGTGATCACTGTCCAGCTAAGGATTTCTTGAGGTTTTGGTATCTATTCTGCTCCTCTCGGGAAAGTGAGACGGTTGCTCGACTCAAAGCTAGCAGAAAATCGGTCTGCTCCACAAAAACTCCACCACCAGTCTCACTCCAGATTCCGTCATCTATATTTTCAGCCGTTTCGTAAATCCGGTCCAAAATAGCCAATTTGTCATCTGAAAGAAAATTGTCGCATATATCAGGAATGTGTGGCGGATGAATTCATTCAAAAAATATTAAGCAATACGCATTTAATTCTGTTGTTACAAAAAAATTGGCATTCATTATTCCTTTTATTGAGATACATATTTACTTGACTCATAAAATGGAATAAGGCGGATATTACCATTTTTCAAAGGAACTATTACAACAAAAGACTGTCATGTTTCTCATCTGTAACAATTTTTAATCAAATCGGATGGATATGATCTCTTATTGTCAGCTTCCAAAAGAAAAGTGGAACAAATGATTGCAAATCGTTTATTGAATATCAACGTATTCCTAACTCAATTCTTGTTTCATTCAGTATACAATTTATTAAAATTTTAGAACCTGGAATCCAGCAAAAGCGGTGAATAATTTCACGTTTTACGTAAAATTATACACTGTTTTATACAAAATTGGCATAATATTATGACAGAAAAAAAATCTAAAAACCCTTTAGCAAAATTTTCAAGCTACTATACAATTAAAACTTAAAAGAATGAACTGCTATTAACCTTGAATAATGGGTTTTTGCTCTTCCTCTTGGGAGATTAGTCTAGAAATGGCTTCCATGTAAGCGTCTGCACATAAAGAATACAGGTCAGCTCCAGTCATTCCAGAAGGCAGCCGGTCAGCAATGCCATCCAAACTAACAGAAGATCCCAAGGAAAACCTGAAAAAGTAATACTATTTTAAAAACCATCAAATCATATATATGACAAGCCTGCCAATTGCATATCGTATGCAGCAAATTGGAATATTTCTAACGCCATTAAGCCGAATTTCCGCTCAGAAATAAATAAATTCAAGCAACCACCAAATCCCTGCTGATCACCCATCCATCATCACATAGTAAATGGGACAGGCAGTTGTTGAGATCTAACTTTATTCCATATTATTTCTAATTAATTACTGTCTTTCATTGTTACCGATAATTACGGACCGTTACTTGGTAGTTTCAGTTTGCATAGCTGATAAGTGAGATTTAAATGGAGGATTCAAGTCAACCCGGACCGTCGCGGTTGTCATCAAAGGAAGAAAGTCCTACAACGCCAAGCTGCACCCAATTTTTTTGGGTCCCAGGCCAAACGCATAACGTATGTACTTCAGACCGGCCTTTTGGCGATTATGTAAATATACATATTCTTTGGGAATGACGTGCAGATGTTCCTGAGTGAGGCTCCTTGGAGCATTTGTGGAGATGGAAAGAAGACAATGGTTTTGACACTGGAACCGAAATGTTCGGACATCAACATTGAAGTGATGGAAATTATTCCAGAGTCGCCGCCACCAACGCCAACGCAGTACAACGACAATTGGGTGGATTCGGACCAGGAAGCCCTGTGTCCTATGTCCCCTCAAGAAAATGAGGTACGAATAAAATATTGTCAATGATGAATACCACGTCAAGTGTTTCACAAAACCGTTTTCCATATTTCGCATGGGAATGTGAGACAGAGTGAGAAAAGTGGTTCGCGGTGGGTATCCATCATCATTTCGAGTCAGGGTCGTATGAAATCCATTTCTCTTCGTCTCACTTTTTCCATGCAAACTTTTCATCCAACCAGGCGCCTCATTTTATTATATATGTAACCCGAAATTACCGTTCAGTGTCTAGTATACACCATACCTCCTATTATCGTCATCATAAATTCAAGAGTTTTATATTTGGGGCGATTTGGATAAACTAAATTTGCTTATCTGAAAAATTGATAAGTCTGGAGATAAGCCCTATAGCGTTAATTTTTCAGTGAATATCACCATCATAAATTCATAAAAGCTTAAGTTTTAAATTTGGGGCGATATGGATAAACTAAGTTTGCTTATCTGAAAAATTGATAACTTAATTGATAAGCCTCAAAGCATTAATTTTTGAGTGAATATCACCATCATAAATTCAGAAAAGCTTAAGTTTTAAATTTGGGGCGATATGGATAAACTAAGTTTGCTTATCTGAAAAATTGATAACTTAATTGATAAGCCTCAAAGCATTAATTTTTGAGCGAATATCACCATCATAAATTCAGAAAAGCTTAAGTTTTAAATTTGGGGCGATTTAGATAAACTAAGTTTGCTTATCTGAAAAATTGATAAGTCTGTAGGTAAGCCCTATAGCGTTAATTTTTGAGTGAATATCACCATTATAAATTCAGAAAAGCTTAATTTTAACAATTAGATCGATTTGAGGCTACTTTAATAACTTTATTCTTTATCATTATTTTTATGGGTAGTATTTCACAAGCAGCCATACTATGTATGTATGTATGTTACGGCTCTTGCAAAATAAGCCCCTCCCTCAGAAACTTTGACCCCAAAAAACTCATTGTTCCGGTCATTTCTACTCGGCCAACAAAAGCTGAAAATGTAGCTCTTCTCAAGGAGAAAAATCTGGCATCAGGTTGTCAGACTAGAAATGACTGCTAAGGTAATTTTTTAACGATTTATATGTAGGTCGAAAAACCGCCAATTTTCGAATTTTGAAACTTTTTCTGCATCAAAATGTTTGTATTTATGGGGGAATTAAAATGTCAAATACAACTTGAGGTCTAATTATTTTTTTACGGAGTGTACATTAGCTTTCTCATTTTTCCCAATTTTTTACCCCCATTTTTTAAGGGGGGGTGGTTGCCTATAATTCAAAAATAGCTATGGTAAGGTGATCCATGCAACCGCAGTTCATTTTGCAATTTTTTAAATTAAATTCGGTGGCATCGATGCGAAATACTGTAACACCGTATCATTCATTTCATCTCCAATTGTAATATGTTTTGTGATTTTGTGTTTGTTTATCATGTATTTTTTAGGAATCGCCTCCAACTCCAGCGAATTCTCCATCATTGCCGCAAGTGCTACCTGAAGGATTTATTTCACAAACTTTGGAGACTACTCGAAATGACATGACGTCCGACTTGGTCATGCAAGAATCTATTTATGTTGAAGACGTAATAGAAGACGCTGTTTTTCATAGAAATAACGCCGAATACAACAAAATTAAGGAAATGCTGAGCACCATTGTACACGAATGATACTAAGATTAAAGGCAGTACAATGACATGATATATGTACGCATGAGGAAAAAAGTTTTTGAAACACAAATAAGGATTTATGCATCTCTTCAACATTTCACCATACATAAATAATATGTAAACGATTTGACCTTGCCCAATAACAAACGTTGAAGCAACTTATGCAAATATTTACGTGTTACTAACTGTCAAGACTTACTTTCTGGTTAAAGCTGTCAAAATCCGTATTTTGTCCTCTTTGTCCTCATTGATACCCACGTACAGCAGCTTGTCAAATCTGAAATTCATCACCATTATGATTGTTATGGATGACAAAAACATAGTAGTTACATATATATATATATATATATATATATTTAATAGCATTTTCTATCTCATTATTTTAACGCTGATCATGCATTATTTTCCTAACCTCCCAGGACGGAGTAGAGCCGGATCAATAAGGTCTGGACGATTAGTTGCTGCAATTATGAACACTCCCGGTGTGCTGTGGCTTCCATCTAACTCGGCAAGAATTTGGGAGACAACTCTAAAATAGGTTTAATTATTAAGCAAATCACTTATATTTACCGTTTTCAAATGAGGATGCACAACGTAATAAGTACCTGTCCATCACACCCCCAGAATCCCCACTCTTTCCTCTATTTGGGGCTAAAGAGTCGAGTTCATCAAAGAAGAGGATGGACGGCGCAGCTTCTTTCGCTTTTTCGAATACTGCATAAACACATGCATTAGTAATTTATGACAGAAATCAACGTCCATCCAGCCCAGTCGTCGTTGTAATTTCTTTCTTCGTAGTAAAATAACCAATATGATAATACTATTTCATGGAACGGATTTTCATAACCAACATTTGTTCTTGAGCTGAGGAACAACTGACCGTTTCTCAAGATCAATCTAACCACCTGCCGTAGAGTAGTAATACTAATAATACTTAATATAAATAAGTACTCATGAACCTACGTACCTTCGCGTACGTTCTGCTCACTTTGTCCAACATACATGTTCAGTAATTCTGGACCCTTCACACTGAGAAAATTCAGCTTAAATTCGGTCGCAACTGCTTACGCATAAAAAAATATAGTTTAGGTTGTTAGATTTCTTCAGAAGAGGCAAAAGTTACCATTCCAACCTTAGCTTATGAGATTTCATGAGCTCGGTTGATCTCCGTGAGTAACAAAACCTTACCTGCTTTCGCAATCAAGGTTTTTCCTGTTCCTGGAGGTCCAAAAAGCAGCATTCCTGTGATTGAAGCAAGTACATTCGTGACATTCTTTGCTTACGTTCATTCATTCATTTAGATAAAGTCCATGTCCTTGTATGTATCATGCAGTGAAGAATGTTATACTTATATCATACATTGCACGAAAGCGAAGGAGGGAATAAAAATATTTATAGAAATTTTGAGACAATCTTCGAAATCCACAACGTACAACGAGTGTCATCAATAATTGCAATACTTAACTTGTCTCCCATCCGTGTGCTTAACTGATTGCTCGGATGTGAGGAGAGCGAGCAAACGAAACGCCAACTGATTGTGTGAGTCAAGCAGCCAGCACTACTGCCAGCAGAGAGGCCTTAAATATTTTCTAAGATCGGCATCCCATAATTGTTATCCGATTAACTTCAGCCCTATTTATTGGTAAGATATAAATTGTTTGCAGCCCTCCTGCCCATTTACTAATTTAGATTATGAACCTAAAATTGTAATTTTTTCTGTTTTCAGGCCAGCTTGTTTAACCACCATGTCGCGTACGACAGTTGCAAATGAAGGTGACAAGGGTGGGATGGACGGCGCCCTGACTTTTGCAGACCTCCCATCCGAACTTGAAATAATTCTGATCGTAAAAGACAACGACCATGACAAGATCTCCGTCAAGTACAAAGCTATGGTTTGGACTTTGGTTCGTGAGTTTGGAACCACTAATATAAATTCCCTGTCCTCGGTGGATAAGAAGCTCTTAATTGACGTAAGCACAGATAGAAATAGTTCAGCTTAATGACCTCTTCAGTTTAATAATCCCCGTATTTTGAAAGAGTACCCAGATTAAATGTTCCTAACATTATGTAGCATAATTTATGTTACTTCTATATGCTATTATATTTAAAGTCTTTAATTATTTTATTTAGGTGGTGAACGAGTATCGTAAAGAAAAGAGGAAACAACGAATTGCAAAATGGCTAAAGGAAGTTCAGACCAAGATGGATTACTAGGCTCAAGTGACTTTTCAGCTTTATTGTTTAATAATGAATTATAAATATTTAACCACGTTTAATAGACGAAATGGACCGATATGGGCATGTATTTAAATTAATTAATTGTTAACTTGTGACTTGCTTTTGTATTAAAGTTCATAAAAATAGTTTCGATTACGCAAATAGAAGTTTCACAAATAAAATATTTAAAGGAGTATCTGACCTGAACGCTTGATGCCAGAAGAGAATAATTTGGGGAATTGCAACGGCAACTGGATGGAATCAATCAGTTCTGACTTAATTGAGGAAAGTCCACCCACATCTTTCCACGTCACGTTCGGAATCTTTGGTCCAGAATTATTAGTCCCCTTCAAAACTGCGATCACCGCACCTGCAAAACAGGGTAAATTAACTGGAATAAATATAAACCACTTACATCTCAGCAGAGGTTTGTATATATTTTGAATTCCATACATATTCTAATAGCAAAGAATCCTTACCATGTCCGAAATTCAAATGAGATTCTTTAACCAGATTAGACATTTCTGCGTGTGGTTTTATGGTTGTGATGTCATCATCGTAGTTTGGGATCATTAGCCTGCTTTCTTTATATTGCTCCCTATTTTATTTTTTACAACATAGTATTGATAGATATATGTATGCTTGTTATGTGCATACTTATTTCTCAAATTGATACTGAAAAATATAGTGTTACCTATTTGTAATGGCGAAAATTGCATTATAATCTGCTAAATTTAGATGAGATCCAGAAAAATGTGTGTCTGTCCACTTAGAAATATCACAGTCTAGTGTCTGATCATATTTCTGAAGAAACCATTCAATTGTGGATTTAACATCGTCCCATTTGCCCACGTCTGTTTCTATTCTATTCACAAAACAGTCCCTTATAGCACCTGCTAATTCTGTGGATGTGGACGTGCTTCCAATAAGAAATGTCGGGTAATAGGAAGTTTTCGCCTTTCGTGTAACATTATTATCTTCATTTTTAGACTCAATCTGTCTTGCCAATGGATCGGATTTCAAATCTGACAAGATTTCACGAAATGCGAGAATCGCTCTCTTGTCCTCATGACCTTCTTTATCCTTGCCGAGAACCTTTATCCAAAATATAATGGTTAAGCACTGTAAAACACATATGTACCTAATACATAAATGTATATATAAGTACATGAATATTCTTAATGTATACAAGGCAAGGCGCAGTTGCCTTTATTTTTTCTTTCAACGCCTTCAGCTTTGCTTCCGTGTACGCACTAGTGTCCCCAACAAAGTTAACGGCATTCACCCCATGAAAATTCAGCCCTAATCCCATAGCTGCTTTATAAACTATGGGAAATTTCCCCGGTCCACAAAGCAGTGTGGTTGGCCAAAGTTCATCATGAATCATCTTCATCATCGGTGTAAGTGAAGCATTATTTTTCATGGATTTCGATACTGCTATTGCTGCAGCTGAAAATGAGTACATGATTTGATGGAGGTGGTTTTGCAAGGGGGGCGGTAGGGGTCGAGTTTTGGAGTCGTTCGCCCCAAAGAACGTAGTTGGAATATGAAAGTCGTTTATTTCTTGTTCTAAAAATTTGTAAACAACGGTGATAAGCATAAATAAGTTTACATACATTCAAAGTTGGTTGTGAGGAATATCCAGCTTATTTTAAACATGCCTGCCAGAACCAAGCTTGTCCAGGACGACGAAACGCAGAACAATTTAGCGCTATTCTGATCACCGTTAATTTCCTTGACCAAAAATTCAGGAATTTCGCCTCCCCCTTCTTCAGTAGACGCTGAACACGTCAGGACATCTCCCACGCTGAAATATTTCGGATCGTGGAACCAATCTTTGAGCATCATGTCGACCAAATTTCTACCAGATCCCTCTTTCCCATCCTCTTCTACACCCAACTTTGCCACTTTCTTGATCCCGACAAGTTTAACTGTTTTGGCCTTTTCCGGAGAAAAGGCAGCTTTTTTTATCAGAGCGTTATCACCATTACCACTGCTAGTTAGTGCAGTCATTCTACATTTTATGTTAGTGGAATAGTTATTATTAGCGTAGAATAGGTCACAAGGGGACAATCCAACATCTCTCGCCAAATTGTGCAAACCCGTGTGTGTCATTGTAATTGATGGATCATCATTCCTCCCGTCGTCGGCGTGGTTTTTAGATTCATAGACTTTGCATGGAAATGAGTATGCAGGTGGTGCTGAATCACTCGGGATTAACACTTTTCTCTTATCTTCGTCGCTACTACAGGCTTCTAGTCTGAGTGAGACCCATTGTCCATCCTTAATTAGTAAAGAGTTCAACCACTTCGAAGAAATCCAAACGGATCGATTGGGATCATTAACCTTGAGATCACATCTAGTCCCCACCACGTCTCGAGTATGTATCCTAAACTGCATTTTCTTCACGAGCACATTCGCCCTTAGGACACGTAAAATTAAGAGGATCAACCCACTGCATATATATTTTTGGATGAATAATGGAGGAGCTTTGCCGAAAAAAATGAGATTAATAACGAAAACGAGATGTTGGACAGAAACAGAATGTCTGACGGCACTTGAGACATGTTGTTTAGAACTCATTTTCGCTCAACACAATTAAAACTAATGCAATCACAAGTTGGACAATATTATCATTAATGTTATTACTAGAGGCGCACATGGTCTCGAGCTTATCGACATCATGCAAATTTATTCAACGTGTACGAGCACCAGCTGACTAAAAAACTGAGGAGAATTGGGGCAAGTCGCGTTTTATGTGGGAAATCAGCCTCACATGCCGGTAGAGACAGATTTGTCAAAATAAGTTAGAAGTTGAAGTTGAAATACTGACGTTTTACGTTATATTACGAAACAATTATAATTCTAGATTGTTTCTAATTGTATGGGAACAATCAGCCCATTAAGTAAGGTCACTGTGTTTAGGGATTTCTATATTTCAAGATGAAGTAAGTGTTTTGTGGCATTCAACGTTTATTTATGTACACCAATCTTTCATCTATTAACTATTTACTACTAAAGAAATAATTAATGTTTCATTAGGTTGGTGGTGGACGGACTTACGGTGTTATTTCCGTACGACTACATTTACCCAGAGCAGTTTTCGTACATGTGCGAGTTAAAAAAGGCTTTAGATGCAAAGGTATGAATTTCAGGTTAATTTATAGTCATAATCAAATTAGGACATTTTATTAACATTGATACTAGAAAATGGGATAAAATTCAATTATTCAATTATTAATTTGTATTCTGCTGTGATAGGGTCACTGCATGTTGGAAATGCCATCTGGAACTGGGAAAACTGTCTCACTACTTTCTCTAATTGTTTCCTACATGGAGGTAAACCCGCTGCAAGTTACCAAGCTAATCTACTGCTCTCGAACACTGCCAGAAATTGAAAAAGTACTTGCTGAACTGGCAAACCTTGTGAAGTACTATGAAAAGGAGACTGGGAAGAAACCAAAAATGGTAGGACTTGCATTGTCCTCCAGAAAAAACTTGTGTGTTCATCCGTCTGTAAGTTTATTGTTGGTTTTATTGGAAAAAAAAATTCTGGTTTTTTCTAATCTTAAATCTTAACGTAGGTAAGCCGGGAAAAAGAAGGAAAAGTCGTAGATGGAAGATGTCAAAGCTTAACCGCGTCGTTTGTTAGAGCTCGACATCAAAAAGATCCTAATGTTAACGTCTGTAGTTTCTATGAATCATTTGATTTAAATGGGCGAGAATTTCCACTCCCTCCAGGGATTTACAATTTGGATGACTTGAAGGAGTACGGACGCCAAAAAGGGTGGTGCCCTTATTTTGTGGCTAGATATGCGGTATTAAGTCTAACCACTATTAATTCGAACTAATTAATAACCCAATCTATTTTATCCATGTGTGTATAGATTGTTCACGCAAATATTGTCGTCTACAGTTATCACTATTTATTGGACCCTAAAATCGCAGAGATTGTCTCTAAAGAAATTTCCAAGAATGCTGTTGTCGTTTTTGATGAAGCCCACAATATTGGTCAGTTTTGAGCTCCATTTATGTCTGTATTAATCGGAAATTTAAAATCTGTTTATGTGTAATTTTTTTTACAGATAATGTGTGCATTGATTCTATGAGTGTAAAAATAAATCGCAGAATCCTGGACAAATGTAGCACGAACTTGAGTACCTTAGAAAAAACTATTGAAGAGTGAGTGCTATTATTTACATTACAGGTTGCTCTGGCTATGTCTGTTTGGTTTATGCATGAGTAGCCTGACTATCATCACACACAAGTGCAAGCTTAATATATTTTGTAGTTTACATTTTTACAAAATAATTTTTTTTTCAGAATTAAAGAAGCAGACACCAAAAAGCTACGTGAGGAATATCATCGTTTAGTTGAAGGGTTAAGGGATGCAAGTATTGCTCGAGAGACTGACGTGGTGCTAGCAAATCCAGTTCTTCCGAACGAAATCCTTGAAGAAGCGGTTCCGGGAAATATCAGGAATGCAGAACATTTTGTATTCTTTTTAAAAAAGTTTGTTGAATATGTAAAGATGCGACTACGAGTACAACACGTGGTTCAAGAGTCTCCTGCAGGATTTTTGAAGGATATTTATGGAAAGATTAGCATAGAGCGGAAACCACTAAGGTAATCAAATGATTATAGCAGCACTATATACATATATATATTATTTCGTACTAATTTTAACCTTCTTGACTTCCATTTTTTAGGTTCTGTGCTGAACGTTTGGCCTCGTTGATAAAAACTCTGGAAATTTCCGATTTGTCCGATTTTTCTCCTCTAGTATTGATATCGCATTTTGCAACACTGGTGTCAACGTACACCAAGGGTTTTACAATAATTATTGAACCATTTGACGAGAAATCGCCAACAGTGAGCAATCCCATACTCCACTTTAGCTGTTTGGATAGTTCGATCGCAATCAAACCCGTCTTTGACAGATTTCAATCAGTTGTCATCACCTCTGGGACACTGTCACCTTTAGATATGTATCCCAAAATATTGGACTTTCATCCAACTATTATGACGTCTTTCACAATGACTTTAGCGAGACCTTGCATTCTTCCCATGGTATGCCACAACAACAACCTTTTTGCTTTGCTAATATGATTCCGTATTTCTTGTTGCATCAAACTGCATGTATATTGTGGTGGTGTGTTTTTCGAGGCCAATTTAAATTGAGTTCAGTAGTTTTGAAATACTCTCTAGTCTTCCTGGCGCCAGATACATAAAATTTCTTATTCAGTCATGCCACATTAAAATGCATTACCATTTTTATGTTTTGTTTTCCTTGTCTATCCATCCATAGGTTGTGACAAAAGGAAATGATCAAGTTGCAATGTCATCAAAATATGAGACAAGGGAAGACATTGCGGTGATTAGAAATTATGGAAATCTACTGGTAGAAACTGCTTCTATTGTTCCTGATGGCATGGTTTGTTTCTTCACGTCGTACCTCTACATGGAAAATGTTGTTGCCAGTTGGTATGATCAAGGTATTATTGACCAACTACTCAAGTACAAATTGCTGTTTATCGAAACTCAAGATGCTGCTGAGACTAGCCTTGCTTTATTTAACTACATTAAAGTGAGTATAATATTTGAGTAATAACTATGAAAGTATTGTTGACTCAATCATTTGCTTTTGGGGGGTTTTATGAAAATATATAGGCGTGTGAGAATGGACGAGGCGCTGTATTGCTTTCTGTAGCACGAGGTAAAGTTTCTGAAGGAGTTGATTTTGATCATCATCTTGGAAGAGCCGTTTTGATGTTTGGAATTCCCTACGTTTACACACAATCAAAAATCCTTAAAGCACGCCTGGAATATCTTCGAGATCAATTCCAAGTAACAAAACAATATTTTAAAGAATCAATCTCATTTCAATCAATATATCTATTAATCCAACTAATCTAAACTATTTCAATATAATAGATTAAAGAGAATGACTTTCTGACATTTGATGCCATGAGACATGCAGCACAATGTGTTGGGAGAGCTTTACGAGGAAAAACTGATTATGGTATCATGATATTTGCTGACAAAGTGAGTTGCTTATTGTTTTATAACTATTTGGCTTTTATACTTTATTAAATTATTACTATTTTTTAAGCGATTCTCCCGTTCGGACAAAAAGAGCAAGCTGCCAAAATGGATTCAAGAGCATCTCAGAGAGTCATTTTGTAACCTGTCAGTCGAAGAAGCTATTCAGGTGCTCAATGCTTATTTATACCCACTACAAAAGTGGACACAAGTTTTTGTAGTATTTATGGGTTGTAAAAAAACTGTGTATGTAACTACATGTTTAATTATTTGTTTATAGATCTCAAAAAAGTGGTTGAAACAGGTATATTTTTTTGTTTCTCTTTAACTTATTCGTTAATACAACTTATAAAAAATTATGTTTGCAGATGGCTCAACCATTTACCCGTGAGGATCAGTTGGGAATCTCTTTGCTAACGTTGGAACAACTTCAGAGTGAAGACATGCAAAAGAAAATTTTTCAAAGAGCTCAACAAATATAATGATAGATTATACCTGTGCGTCTATGTTAGCTTTATATTTTATTTTTGCAATAAAATACATTTTTATCCCTTAAAAATTTACTTTTTGCGAATAATGAGTAAAGCTCTTTTTGCTTCCCAAATTAACATTTAATGCATCATATAATTTTAATTTGATTACATAAATTTTTAAATACAATTCAATTATTGATGAAGGATGTAATGAGGGTGAACAGAATTGTGACAATGTAGTTGCACTGCATGAAGATGGCAGAAGATTGACAAGTTCTTATGTTTGGCAATTTAACGTCTGGTATACAAATGAATCCACTTTTACACTCCTGTGGATGAATACATTCCAAACCTATTCCAAGATCCGACGTCAGACAGAGACTTCGAGTATTTTTTCCGATATCCGTCATTATCTTAGCACCCGCTTCCTGGCAGTTACAGAAACCATTATTGCACTTCATTGCGAAACCCAAGTACGATGTCAACTAAAAAAAATATATATAATGAATTTTGGAATTTGGAGTCAACATTAATCAGATATTATCTGTGATTCCTTACTTTCTTCTCATTTAGTGTCTGTAAAATTCCGATCGTTTTTTTCTGACAGGAGTCTAATTCTAAATATATACAGACATGTATTTCGCATACTTATTCTTCATAATAAAATTCATTAAAGAAGGAAATCGGAGTTGTGGTATAGTTATTTATGGGCGATAAATTATGGCACAATTAAATTACCTGCTGCAGAGGACGGCGTGCATTTCTGTTTTTCAAGCTCTTTTGGGTTTAATTTCGATCCACTCACTGCTATAGTATTGCTCATCGAAAAAGTCTTCAATACATCGTCCTCTCGAGACGACCAGCAGCATAAGGGGCTGGCGAGAAGAATAACCAATCCGCAGAATAATTTTGTAGTTACCATTTCGTATTACCATTCATACATTTGACGAATGTAATACGAGCCAAAATTGATTTTATAGAAAGTATAAAAATCTATATAAAAGTGTTGAGCCACAAACATTGTTCCTATGGCGGAAATTAAAATTTATAATTTCCCATTTTTTCAAGGATACATAAGGATACAAATGCGTCTGAAGGGTGGGGTTCTAATTTAACTTTATAATAAACAATTATTACATCGTTTGGTTATGAGGATGTTATACAGTCAAATGAAATAAAAGATGATTTTCGTGTATATGTATGTGTTGATGCTTTTATTGACAATTGTTGAAAAATTATTGTGTTAAAAAAGCATTTAATAAATCTTTCGAAGGTTTTCAAGTAGGAGAAAAAGTCCATCATGTTGTATGTCTACTGACTAATCTTTGTCCCAAAATTTTAACGAACAACTATGCAGAAATTAACACAGAAAGTGAAAGCATATACAAACAAGTCAAACGCCCTCGAACCACCGCCCATCCGGTATTCCGGTTTTTTAAGAACAAAAGCCTTACCCTAAATAATAAACAATGCGAAATAAAGGAACTCTTTTACTTTGAATTCATATAAATTAATTACCAATTAATTCACTATTGTATAAAAACGCATCAATTTCGTCAAATTTATGACCAGTGCAAATATGGCATCCAAGCACGTCTTACCACTCTTGACTCTGCTAGTGTTCCTTGCTAACGCCCACATTTATGATTACTACCCGAATAATTACTACCCAGCAAACGGAATTCATCAACATCAGAGTTACTTTCCACCACTACCACCAGCTCCAATTGGGAACAATTTTGGGAACACTTTTTATAATCAGATCCCCAACATTCTAACCCCATTCCAACTCCCACGCCAGGTCCGTGTCCCCGGAAGGATAGAAATCATAATAAATGGTGATATAGCAGAAATTTTGTGTGAATTTCCCCGATATCTTATTCTTATTCAGGTGAGTAACACTAATTGCTAACTAATTTTTATTTTTCATAATTTGACCATATTGTTGCATTTGCAGAAACTTCATTGGCACCACCGCTACGATGATCCGTATGGTACCTACTACGATACCAACCAGAATTTTGCACCACGAATCAGTATCAAAAATGACTCCAAATACAAATCTATTCTGAGAATCCAGGGTTTCAATGAGGACGACTTTGGGCATTGGCGATGTTTGTCGAGTGCTGTACTACCAGAAGATGTGGACTACTTGGGAAATTTGAGAAATTTGAGAAAGAAACGAAGTTACTACGATCCAAAACCTCCTATTAAGGGCTTATTTGCACCATTTTTCAGACCCAGCTATGGTTTATTTGGAATTTTTCAAGAAATTAAGTTTGCTCCCTTGGCCCAACAAGGAGGTAGTCAACAGTTGGTCAGAGCAACTGGTAATAATACCATTTAAAAATATAGTCAATTTAGACAGTCGAGGTCGTTGTGATGTGTTTAATAAATTTATTTTCATGACAAAGTGGAGAACTATACTTTAAGGAAAATGTGACATATTTACCCAAAGACCTACCACTTTTATTCAAATCAACGTTTAAATGACATACAGTGTGTACTATTATAATTAAATACATACATACATATATATACATTACAGAAATATTTATGCATACATAGAAATAAATTCATTTGTTCATCATCACGTACATAAGTCACAATTCAATTTATTGTGATAATTAATTGGCATCAGTTCATTTATGCGTTGATTCAAATTATCACATAAGTATTATGAATGAGTATTTGTATTCGTATCAGGTAACGATTAGAGTATATTAAAGTTAAAAGTTATAAATTTTTACAATCGCAGGTACGCGTCCACAATAAAAATAATCAAGAAATCAGAGAGAAGATACTTGATTGTTGTCACAAATCATGAGATGAATCGACAAATTAGAATGCTTCCTGTCTGCATTTGGACTGGGACTGCAACATTGCACGGTTGTTTGAGTAGGTGATATTCCCAACAATCTAACATTTGACGCACAACTAGTTAAATCTCCTTTGTGGTATGTGTACAAAATATCCACAGATTGTGGTCGTCCAGTGACTTTAGTTAAAGCCCAGTCCAGCAGGCGAATTACGGCAACTCGCATCTATTCAAGATAGTAAATTTCTCATTCGAATAATATCCTACTTGTATATTGTATGTAAATGTAGTTAAATTAAATACATCAAAATTATGATTGATAATTCTCTCACCTCAGTCGATCGATACCCATATAGCCAAGGGTTAAACAAACTGCTCAGGACGAGCGGAAGGGAAGCCAGCATCCTCCACTGAGGGTTCATGAGTATCATGCTGTAGTTATGAGTGGACGACTTGTTGGCAACAAAACTGTCGTTGAAATTGGTCCCACCGTGACCTTGGTATTCCTCGCTCAGGTCAAAAGTTGTGCCTTGTACGCTATTGTGATAAGCTAGCATGTCGCAGAATGCTATGAGGAGGAGTGGCAACCAAGAAATCAGAATCGATGATAAAATGAGAGCCAGGGTAAGACCATATCTATTTGTATGACCAAGGGTGGCAGTATCTGTAACCTAAATATTCAAATATGTTGTAAAGTAAAGCAATACGTCCACTGTACATATTTATTAATGAAAATGTGACAACCTCGCAAGTATTCCCATTGTGAAGAGAAATCTCCACGCTATAAATTGCTCTATAAAACATACAAAAAAAGTACATATTTTATAATTTTGTTTGTAGGAATGAAGATATTTTACTTCCATATTATACTTAAAATACAAGTGTACCTGGCATGATTTCGCGCAACGACATAAATATGTCCATAACTTACGATGACGCAGAAAAGACATGGCCCATACAGGCAAAAAGTCGTCCATCCTAAGACCAGATCTCCACCCCACAAGGGCCACTCGTTTCTACTAAATACATAAATACATGCACACAATTAGTCAATAATTCCCACGCATCATTGAGCAAAGTTACCTGGCTATAAATATTATTGGGATAGCAATTCCAATAAGAATAGCGTAGATCCAACACGCCGTGACGAATCTGTGAATGTTGGACATTGTGACAAAGTGGTTATACCGCAGAGGTTGAGACACAGAAGTGAACCGATCCAGAGCAATGAGAGTGATTGACAAGAGGGATGCGGCACAAAACGTGAGCAAGATTGCAAATGGTAGGACACACATGATCATTTTGCATTCGTACTCTGCAACAATTAAGAGCACTTTCATGTAGATCAAAATTTGGCTGCATGTAAATGCGTGGAGACTACTAATTGTCGGTATATATTGATTTTGATTATATTACCAGAAGAAGGATTAGGAGGCATTGTCAGCTCAAGTGCAATTGCCGCCGGGAGAAAGAGACCAAAACCCAGGTCCGCTGCGGCAAGTGATATGATAAGCGCATTGGATGGAGTTCGTAATCTTTTAAAGCGCAACCAGACACTGATAATTAGCGTGTTGGAGAGAACGATAAGGGGACTCAGAAGGAGGATCAGAATGGACAATAGTGAGTTTGCAAGCATTTTTCCAGTTCAACAAACAATTAACAATGTTCCGTCATGGATGTGACCCCATCTGAAAATAAATAAATAATGTTTTCATCTATTTTCATACTTAATTTTCGACATGTTAGACATAGATTATACCAATTATCTCACACCGTAATCCTTCATCATTATGTAAATCTTTACGTAAATTACGCTTCAATTACACAAATATAATCTTGCATTTCAATCATCTGACTTTCTTAAGCATAACTATCAATTACTTGCCACCGTCGAAGGATTTTCAGCATCTCAAAAGTCCCCAACTTATTTCCTTACTTTCTCCTTGGTGTGATACTACTATTCTACTTGAAAGAGATAGAATTTCTCTGGCCTTGACTCTCCATTGTTACTCTTCATCCATCCGTACATATAACCAAGGAAAGTTAAAAGCCTTCCAAGTGCATGATCCGATCGTGGATTCCTTAATTCTTGATGGAAAAGGATTTATGTACGTCAGGGACAAATGGTTTGCTTTCTCGTCTCTCATCCATCCCGTCCCGTCACCAAATACCGAACTATCACCAACCAACGACGAAGCAGCATACATACATATATCTACCATAATACATGTCACTACTGGTTTTGCGGTGAAGTGAAAGCGCAAATGAGATAATTTGAATGCATTGCAGAGAAAAAAATTGTTTCCATCCCAGAATAGAAATGAGATGAGATGTTCAAGCTTCGTTCGCTCAGGCTCGTTCTCCCTTCTCTCAGGTATGGATCACTTCTGTGGGAGTGTTCACAAACTTTGGTCGTTTGTCATGTCCAATTTAAAGTGTTATTTGGCTCGAGACTTCTAGTTCAACAGAAATATCCAAGTATGAAATTTGCGTGCATCACAGCTTTGATGCATTACGATTCAAGATATGTACGACAAAACCTGGATGCTTAGTCGAAAGCACCTCAAAGAAAGAAAGATGGCTAATATGATAGGAGACAAAAATATGGCAGCGATTTGTACCTTGACACTTTCGTTTCTATCTGTCTGCTCAAACTATTTTTATATGGGGCACTAAACCGTATCTAAGTGCACTTTAAGAAATGTTACAAAACGGTGTGAACGTGGACTTTAAATTGAATTTCAGTTGGATGCGCTGTGGCTTGAGCCAGCAGAGCTTGGATGTCAGCAAATGTAAGAGGATCAAGGTTTGCCACAAAAATTGATGACGTCGGTTGGTTGAGTGTCCCTTCACAATCAAATACTTGAGAATTACTGGACCTGCCTGTAATGAGAAAAGATCACAGTCGTTTGCAGATTAGCTAACGCATAGCAGCTATACACACATACGAACTGAGGTGTGAAGAAAGAAATGAAAGTGAAAGTGATGCTTTCTCAACCTTTCACCAATTGATTTTCAATTATATCTAATTCATTCTCGTTTAAGTAGGTAATAGAAAAGGATAAAAAAGTAGTTAATAAGTGGAACATTATTCAAAGTCCAACTCAGAAGGACAACCCGTGACCGACAGACCCTTTGGATGTTGTAGAGTATTAGTTTACTGTACGAAATGTGAGGATTTTATTCCATGGCCCCATTTATTTACGCCCCCCCTCAAAAACGAACCCCGTGTTAACCTGTTCGCATTTAAAAATCACCAAAAATTCATTTTTGTTTGATCAGATTTTCACAATTTTCAAATTTTCGTGATTTTCATGATTTTTATCGTATCCACAATTTTTAAAATTTTTTAGTAATTAACAACTGTCAAAGAGGAAGAAAATGCTAAGATTACATAAAAATTGAATGTTTGGCAAAGGATGTAATTAGCAAACGGCTTTTTAGTGTTTTTTACCCCTTTGAGTGGGTGTGGCTTACGCAAATTTGAATAAACCCTTCTTCACTTTTTGTAAGTACCAGAAGGCATCAAAATCTGTCAGTCTTTTATGTATAAGGTGCCCTCCTTACAATTAGTTTATTTACCACTGTGTCCTCCACATTCGAATGAAAATTCCAAGTTGCCGTTTATATAATTATATTTCTAATGGAATTTATTGCCTGGAATAAAACTTCTAGCGTGGAATATACCTATACTTTCATTTCATTCGCCTATAAATGTTGGACTCATATGTGTATGAGCATAATCTCACACACATACTCACCGGTACATACATAATTCAGAATAGTCATACATAGGTAGTGACAGTGACATTGACATTCTACTCAGGATTAGTGAAATAGGCGAACCTAAATAACAGCCCTATTTCAAAGCTGCTGTTTCATGGTGACTGACGGCTGTGATTGAAAACAAAGAGGGATTTGATGATTAAAAACTGTTAAAACGTAATAAAATCGATTTCTGTCCAACAAGGAATGAAAGACTAACAGAATGTCTGGAATGTATTTAATAAACCTTGCATACACTCCATCATCACGTATTTGACATTTCATGCATACCATGAAAATTGAGACTCAAATTCAAAATTGATCATATTTTGTGCAACATACAGATACGTATTTCGGAAATGTACGTGATACATATTTTCATAGTTTTACTTGTACCGCTTCATTTGTGAAGTACGCACATTTAAAAATGCTATCAGGAGTGCTTGATTTATACTTGATAAATTTTGTATTTATAATGTCAGTTATATCCTGAAGTACGAGGAAAAGTCGCATCTCGACTGGATTTTTCAGCTCTTGTAGAAGATAAAGCTAGCGCCGCGACCCAAGTCAAACACACTGGCGAAAGGGACATCGGCTCGGCTTACCCCAAGCATTCCCAGGTTCAAACCCCAGCATGGTACAGATAACTTTACTTTTTGCAACCTAGTTTTGACTACAGTCGTAATGCCATTGTATAGGAGGTCAAGTTCTACTTGAACAATAGTCGGACCTCCCCCGGGAAGATTTTGGGGAGTGGTCAATATCATCATTTTTTCATACTGACCACACCTCCACACGGTCTCGGTGCGGTCCGAATATCCTACTAGTAGAACTTGACCTCTTATGTAAAGTTAAAAGCATTTTAGTCAAAACTGGGTTGCAAAAATGTAAACTAGCCTCTTCTGAGATTTGAACCCACGTGCTTGTGCTACAGGCTGCGCCGATGTCCCTTATGCCAGCTATTTGACTCGGGTTGCTGCGATAGCTTTATCTTCTACAAGAGCTGAAAAATCCAGTCGAGATGCGACTTTTCCTCGTACTTCTGGATATAACTGACATTACTTGATAAATCTTGTATGCAACAATATCTGTTTTCTGTACTAAAAATGTAAAATATATGGAGGCAATTCACGCCCTCCTTCGTAACTACGTAAACAGCGTAAAATCCGTAAACTTACAAACGTTTACAAACTTTTACAAAAATTGTCAAGGAAAATCAGTTTACAAACTTTTGTAAACTTACGCAGCTCACAGGCGTCTTTTAATTTTGTAAAGTATTTTGTAAACTCAATTTGCGGAAGAAAAAAATTTGTTCGATACAGAAATTTGGCATAGAGGTTGCTAATGGCTCCTAATGAAAGAATATGAAGTGAAATTGGAAAATTTTTCATCTGGAGGTACCCGAAGGGGTGACCCATACCGATTTTTCAAAATCATCCAATCGAGCTGAAATTTGGTATAGAGGCTGCTAAAGGCTCCTAATGGAAGAATATGAAGTGGAATTGGTAAAAAATCACATCCGGGACCCGTTGGGGTGACCCATACCGATTTTCATAACTTGTCTCAAAAAGCTGAAATTCGGAACGGTGATAGCTTCTCATGAACGAATATGAAGTCAAAGATGAACAAAAAATAACCAGATGGGCAATAAGGGAGGGGCACCGATACCGATTTCTAAGAAGTTATATATTCAGCTAAGATTTAGTGTGATTTAGGATTAGAATTTAGGAGGGTTGAATTTCGAAATTTTTATAGGAACAGCCTTCACTGTTCGTGGTATTTATTATATCAATAAATGCAGCTCCACAAATTTCTTCCATTAATTTCCGTTTTCTGGAAATGATCGGCATTTTGTTTCAATTATCAGATAAATTTTTACGAAAATAATTGCGAAAGTGAATTCACGGGAAGCTGTTTGTAAACGTTTGTAAGTTTACGGATTTTACGCTGTTTACGTAGTTACCAAGGGTGCGTGAATACCCTCATGGTCTTTCTGCTTTTTTTAACCCGACTTAAGTATATACGAACTCAATAATGTGATGTGTGATTGAACAACCCACCCACCATACACACATGTCAGAGATAATGATCCTTATTTGTGAAAGTGAAACATGTTTCCATTCAAATGTCCATCAGCCATTTCAGTCGGAAAACTGGCAGTTTCGCTTCTTTCTCATCAATCTTCCATTTCACCAGACTTTCTGACTTTCTAAGTATCCTCGACCATGTATGTACATAGGCGTGGGCGGCAACTGACCAACCTCACATTTGCAGTAAGTAAAAACAAATTCGAGCTATGCGTACTTCCACAGCACCGCATTTGTACTAAAATAATTAATCTGAAGAAGTACGTATGTATATATAGCTATATTCCTTCGAACGAATGCATGCAGGCCTACATACAGTGTCGGACAGATGTCTACGTCCACATAGTCGCGTCAATTTCATTTTCAAATTGTCACTGAACTACTGAACCAATTTTCATCATTGATATATCAAATTCTCACAAATTTAACGTAATTTCATAGCACATTATTAGTTTTCCGCTAAAAAATTTATTTTAGGCCAGAGATGTATTTTAATTCAAAATGAAAACAATTGGATGGACAAAAGTCAACGTCCAGTCAGAGAAAACATACAAAAAAAACTGTAATTTATAAGGAATGTTATAACAATTAATTTTTAATATTTGGTTGGGCCTCCGTTCGCTTTAAGGACGGCTTCAAGGCGTCGAGTCATTGAGTTTACCAAATTCTTGGTCACATCTTCAGAAATGGTTTCCCAAACTTCACGAATTCTGGATTTAAGGCCCGGAATTCCTGAAAAAGATTGTTTTCTTATTTCTCTTTCAATGTGGTCGCACAGATGCTCAATGGGATTCAAGTCTGGAGATTGGGGAGGCCATTCTAGCTTCGGAATTTTT